TGACTTTGGGTGACGAACACATAATACAATATACAGATGATGTATTATAGAATTGTCACCTATATAATTTTCAATGTCACCCCAATAAATTCAATTGCAAAAAAAGCAGCCTTGTATCATAAGCCAATGGCTATTCATCTGGCCTCTACTCAAAACTGGGTGTAGTGATAGGGAACTTGTACAGAAAAACCCAGATAGAGAAGTTAGAACTCAATGCTTAGTGAGGTCATACTGGTAGCTTGAAATTGGCCACTGTGGGAGCATTAACACTACAGCAATCGGTAAATGCTAACCAAGCCTTGACATCATCTCATGAGTTTCTAGACTAGGAGTAGCTAAAGTCTAGACCCATGCACAGGCTGGCTCTGTTTGCAAAGTTTTGTTGGGATACAGCCACGTCTGCTCATTTAATATGTTGTCCTTGGCCTGAAAGCTGAAAATATTTACTCATGGTTGCTTTACAGAACAAATTTACTGTCTTTTTCTGTACATAATATCTAAAGCAAAGAATTTGGTGGAGAAAATAATAAGCTAATAATACAGACTGAACCTCAAGTTGTACTGTTCCAAAACAAATACTACACACGCAAAATGAAGAAGTCTAAAGTCCAGCATTTAAAACCTATTATCTGGCTCAACAAAGAAGGCGCTGGCATTCCCTGTTTACAGAGAGATATAAAGTTCTAACATGAGCCTCCCTTGTTTCACTGTTGTCTCACTTGTTAACATGAATGACAACATTCATGTTGGAAGTACACTGATTCATCAGTTACAACTGCAGAGTGAATGCTGATACAAGAGTTCAGCAAAGATCAACGAACGCATTCTGTATATATTTTATTGCTGTAAACCATATGCTACACATCCATAACATCAGTAAAACTTATATTGTACATGTATGAATATATATACATACATATGTGTACACACACACATACACTTTTTTTTCCCAGAGAGCAGGTTGGTTAAATATTTAGTAGCAACCCCCTGAACACTGCCACCCAATCAGTAGCTCTTTCTTCAGGCCCTTTCTCTCTCTCATCCCCACATTCTAATCTATTAGCAAAAATGTCAGTTTCAGTTGCCTTGTGCCAGACTGCAACTGTTTTGAGTTTCTTTCTTGTTCACTGCTTTGTCACCTTTAACCCACTCTGTCTTGTTTACCACTCTATCCACAGAGTCTAGACTTCACCAGGCGAATCACAGGTGTGTAATACATACTGGTTGAATGAACACATGAACAAACAACAAAGAAAAATGTATTTTATCTGACCGCCAGAACAAGTTTCTTCCTACCGCAGCATGATACTTTCTGTCAGAGTGACAATTCTAAACGTTAACTCATTCTTCCTTGCAGGTCAGCCACCATCTCCTGGAACTGTCTCACACATGAGGCTGGGTTCCTATAACCTGGCTTCGCAGCCTGTAGCCTTTCCAGGATCAAATCTGACCTTCACTAGTGTCCTGTGCTTTCAACACCAGCAACACCAAATTGCTATACTAGTAATCCAGTTTCAGTTATTTTGTAGTAATTATTAAGGCGGCCATGCAATGTCATGAATCTCTCACTCTGCAAATGCTCCTTCTACCAAGTACATCCTGGTCTTTCTCATTTCTAGGGCAAGTTCCCAATCAACCTTTAAAACCTATCTTAAATGCAAATCCACTTATGGCTTCTCTGAGCCTTCCCCCTGGGGTTAATCACTCACTCCAGCAGGGTATTTTCTACAGCCTGCCGCCCTGCAGTCATAACTGCTCATCGCACCACAACGTTTTCAAGTCTAGGACCCCAGGACCCACGACTGTTTTTGTTTCTCAAGGGCTTCTCACAGTGCCCAGGACGTAACAGGGAATCAGTGGTGACTCTAACCCCTCTCACATGAATGTGAGGACAGCCACTACGCTATTCATTGCTCAGCCTCCTCCCAAGTCTTCTCTGTTCCAAGGTAAACCTATAAACCATGAGATAATGAGCAGTAAAGCCAAACAGATGCTATACTTATAAAGCAAAGCCAATGAAAGAAGATTGAATACATTAACATCAATAAATATGTACACACAAATAACCTCATCTACAATCCCTGGTGATAGAACTAAGCTGACATCTGCTTTTCCTTAGAGTCTACTCTATTTTTCCTAAGACAGATAATCCATTTTGTTAAATTCAATATGTTTTTCCATTTCCTTACAAGTTTCTTATTCCAATTTTCCTCCTATTGTTCATTAATTATGTACTACTGCTTATTATTTATATATCTTAATAGTTCATTTTCATTGTAGTTTTTCCATAACCATTCATTCCCCCATACCATCTTCTATCTCCACCCACCCCCTGCTCCCTGCAATTACCTTAACACTCAGAGTCACCTTCAGTTTCTGGTCTATTTTCTGGTCTTGCCAGCTCACTGCTTGAGATTCCTCTCCCACTCAATCCTTCTTCTCTATTTCCTTAACTCCAAGTCCAGGTTCGTGTCAACTCATGCCACGATGAACGGATTATATGCAGGTGGGCTTCTATGGCGAGTGTTTTTCCCTTATTCCATGTACAGCTGAGACAACCTTGCTCTAATGAATACGTTCAGCAAGGCACCCCCTGAGCCCTCAGAGAGTCGTGGAGTCATCTGCCTTTGCCCACTGAGTTCTCCCTAAACACCTTCCAGAAACACAACCTCTGTCTTTGGGTCTCCCTCATACTTGGTCACATTGAAAGCCATGTACTCCCACATTAGCACCACTCATCCAACAAATCAGATCCTTTGTCAAATGAAAGGTTTGACAGCATTTCTTATTTCTCGCCTAACAATCAATTTTCCTATTTCTTCCCAATCTATGTGGGAAGAAATCTATTTCTTCCCTAACAACAGCAAGTCTTATCAATTCTACCTTCAAAATATCTCTTGAATCCATGCATTTCCCTTCTTCTCCAAGCCAACATCATGGTTCCAGCATCATAGTCTTCCCCTGGGCCAAGGAAAAGCCTTCATTTTCATCCCTTGCTTTCACTCTGGTCTTTCTCCAGATTCCACACTGAAGCACGGTGCCTTCCCACTGATCCCAGAATAATGTCCAACTTCCTTGCCACATCCCACAGCCAGATCCGTGATCGGGACCTGGCTGACTTTCCAGCCTAGTATCACGTCACATCACTCCCGTTTCCACCTCTGCACAGCAGCCGCTCCGCTCTTTGCAGAGTCTCGGCGCCTTGCCCTTGCTGTTCCAGTTGCTCGAAATGAGCTTCCCCTGCCTTTCCCCGTGCTTGACGATTTCTCATCTTTTACGTGGCCACTCAAAACTATTTCTTCCAGAAGCATTCTATAACCACCTCTCTAAAGTTGTCCTTATTCTCTCTAGGCTAGGGTGAGAACTTTATCCTATTCCCTATCTGCCGTAGTTCCTGGTAAAAGTCATATTCTCAGTAATATTTATTGGATGGATGAAATACTCATGAGGCACATGGAACGTATTTTTCACCTCTGATTTGCTCATGCATTTCCTCCACCTAGAACAGCCTCCTACTCCACTTTTAGGAATTGATGTCCACTATTTATTCCATGAGAGAACTTAAGACTCACATCGTAAAGAAATGCGAACTTTTTCTATCACACTCTGATTTTTTTCTTCACAAAAGTTTTAGCATAAATTAGATAATATTTTCAAAACATCTCCTCCCCCCCCTAGAAATGTCTCATTAACTAGCATGCGGCACCCAGGACAACGGGCGGGGGAGAGTTTTCACAGTCCCCCAGGGGCGTCACAGGACGGCTGCCTCCAGGGGTCAATGGTTCCTGAGTAAAAAAAAAAAACTTCCCACTCCAGCCTGTGATTTCAAAATAAGAGTAGGGAACAGATGGGCATATGAGTACAGTTAGAAAAACTGGTTGTCATGAGAATTTAATGGTGGGGGGGAGGTTGTGAGGAGTTTCTTGGTTAAGGAACCTAGATCAGGAAAAGGGCAGAATTTTGGTCAAAGGTCAGAGCTAGAGAAAATGAAAGCAAATAAGTAAAGAAGAGAGTCAAAATAATTTCTCTCTGTTGAGAACAATGTTTAAAAGGCTGAAGTTTCTTATAATCTTCTGGTTCACAGAATATTTTTTTAGCCCAGACTAATATTTTTGGGCCTGTAGTGAAATCACAGATGAGAAGTTCTTTTAAAGAATAGGCACATTAGTTAAAAGGAAGGAAATTTAAATCTACTTCATCCTAACCGCATTGCTATGTCTTCCCTCCCACCCCCCAAAAACAATAAAAAACTCTGATCTTCAATACAAACATCATACATCTTTCAAATATTGCTTTATTATTATTCAGATTACAGCCACATATCAATCGTATATTCTTTTTTCCTTTTGAGAAGCATGTGCCACAGTCTCAAAGCCCAATCTGACCACTTCCACTGTCAGTGCTCAGGTACTTACTTTTTTTGTGCAGGCAAAATAAAGTGGCCGTTAGAAGCATAGACTCTGCAGTCAATAGCTCTGACATTTTAACCTCAATGACACCACTGAGTAGCTATATAACCTTGAGGATATTATTTAATCTCTGTGCCTCAATTTCTTCATCTAAAAAACCCCCAGAATTTTGCCCTGGTTTGTGTGGCTCAGTGGACTGAGTGCCAGCCTGTGAAGCACAGAGTCCCCAGTTCAATTCCCAGTCAGGGCACATGCCTGCATTATAGGCAAGGTCCCCAGTAGGGGGCACATGAGAGACAACCACACATTGATGTTTCTCTCCCTCTTTCTCCCTTCCTTCCCCTCTCTCTAAAAATAAATAAACAAAATCTTTTTAAAAACTACAAGGAGCAACATAATTTAAGAAAATAGAATTTTTATCCAATTCATAAGTCTGTTTGGACAAATGGGTCAAAACATGTATAGTGCTAACACAGTGCCTCAAACACACTTAGCAAACATTAGCTGTCATTCTTACCACCAGTACACCACGAGGATGGTTTCCCAGGGCCTGTTGCCTTTTCATCACACACTTTCAGACTTGATACTCACGGGGTTAGAATGTAGCACGGTGAAGAACTCCGGGCTGATGAGGAACTTCACAGGGGGCGACTGTAACAGCAACGTGAGCCTGGATCTGGAGGTAGAGTGAGGCAGGACGCCCTCCCGGCGGAGATCTAGACGGGGCAGAGCGGGGAGGCTTGCAGGGAGAGCTTTCTGCACGGTCAGAGCAAAGCTATTCCCTTCCACTGCTGCACACCTACGGCACTTGTCATATTGTTTTATCCCCCAAATACTTTTATCTTTGATGCAGATTCATGCACAAAAACTAACTGCTCTTAGATACAGTAAAATGAAATTGAATATCTGTAATCGCTATACACATTTTAATGCATCCTTAGATGTTTTAAGGGACCAGACTCAATCTTTTTCCACTATCACACAGATCGTAGAGATTAAAGTAATTTATATTCTATTTGGTTTTGTGAGTCTTTTCTCAGTACTATTAAAAAGTCAAGGATTAATATGTCTCTAGTGAATTCTACTTTTTGAGTTGGATTACCGGATCTTATTAAAGATCAAAAGTTCTCTAAAAGAAAAGCCTCCTTTCTTGGAAATCCTCACTTACTTCTTTTCTACGTTGGTGAGAATACAGAACCAACCCACCCAAAGGCTCGTACCTGCACTGGCTTGGTGGAAGTCGGCTTCCTCCCCAGCCCCATCAAGAGCACTGGTGTTTTCCTCAGGCCTCTCATTGGTCATGGTTCTGCGGATGCTCTGATATCTGAAATTGTGAGCTTCAAGTCAAATCACAGCAGCCTCTAAAATCTGGGTCTCGACTGCTGCCCCTGAGCCCTGTACCCTCTCAGCCTCAACCATTTCTTCCCCAACCCCCATCCCCTGACCTTCTAGGCCACCTGTAGTTTAAGTAAATTACATTTCTTCTGTCTGTTGTTGGTGAACATTTTTCTAGCAAATTGATAAAAAAATTAAGTTGTAGCTCTTACCCAAAGAAAATTAAATTTCTCTACTGTTAAAGAAAAGGACAACTTTTTGTTTTGCAGCAATTAGTACTTAAAAAGCTTAGGTTGGTAATAAAGATGCAGCATGCATGAAGATTCTAGACATTTAAAAATATTGTTGACTTCAAATTATAAATGAATACATTCTGCTTTAGTAAAAATCAGTGCCTTGGGTTGACTAAAGGGGTCATCATCACTTATTTCATCTCCAGTTTCCAAACCAGCTGTGTATGTGGGTGTGGATATGGTTATTATTACGACTCTATTTTTTTTAACCAAGAGAAGTTCTATGAAGCCTGTGAATCAAAAGAGGTGACAGCTACACCTTAATGACAGGACACAGAGATGAAAGAGAGACAACTGTGTTTTCTACCTCACACCATGTAAAGATGAGCCACAGCCACAGAACAGAACAGTGGCAGCAGAAGTGCCCGTCCTCACCTCCGGTTCAGCTGCTCCATTTGCTGTATGGAGTTGGACCGCTGCAGCACCTGCGGGGCGGGGGGAGCTGTTGGCCGCTGCCACGTCGTGGTTCTGTTCACATGATCCACGTAGAAGATCCTGCCATGGCTGTCTATGCGTGCCTCCCAGTCTAAACAGTAGTAACGCACCCAGAGGGATTAGGAGGAGCTGAGGCCATTCATGTGGTTTCATTAACTTCAGCATATGTTTTCCTTCTCTGACATGCTATAATTTGGGGCTAACAACATATACATCCCTGCAGAGTCTGGCACTTCCCCTCAGTCCACAGCAGAATCTGCTGTGACCAGTTAGCAAACATACCCTCCGGTGTGCATAACGCCAACCCTTTAAAGATTCTCTGAATGTGGAGACTCCTTCCAGATCTCATCCTTCATATATGAGCACCGGGATTTTAAAAATACAAGTAATTGGTATCATAATAGTTTAGATATTCTCACCAAAATTGGTAATGATGGTTGTTTTCACCAAAATGTGATTTGTTTTGTTTTGTTTTTCCAGCTTACATGATAAACTCATAGCTGGAAACATCCAAGTGTACATTTAAATACAATTTTAGTAAATATAGTTCTCAGGAGAAAATAGTGCAAGACTAGTCATCAAACAATATCATTATCTACATATTTCTATTTGCATTTTCCCAAAGAGAAATACATTTTCAGAGCAAGGATAATTACTTGCCTCCAACTTCAAGTAAATACAATGTTTTAAAACACTATTTAAATTGGTATTTAAGCAATCTCATTGACTACGTGTGGCAGTCTTTGTAAACAAATGTGAAGGTGCATATCAGCAAAAACAGCTAGCAGACTGGTCCTCAGAGACGAAAATCCCATCTCTGTGATGCTATAAAAGGCTATTCCCCTGTTAAAACACTCAGAGCATGAGCTAATGTTTTCAAATGGCAATATTTTAAAACTGATTACAATGGAGAAGAGTAATTTATATAGAGATGTATGAAAATAGCAGAGATCTATTCTTTAACCAGGAAAGTTCTTATACATTTCTATTTCTATATAAATTATTTTTTGAAATTAATAACCCTCTTTCTCCTAAGCAGCTTAATTATTTCAAGATTCTCTGTGTGATTACATAGCTTGTCAAAGAGACCACAGGCCTCACCCTGGAGACCAGGAGGAAGGCATGTCTGCACCTGACCACATATGGCATTGCTCTGGCAGTGCAGGACCAAGTGCTCCAACCACGCGCTTCGGGCTGGAAAGACCTGCACGCTAGATCCCAGCCAGTGGGGAGTGGAAAGGTCTTCTTCTGGTGACCTCAGCACACTGTCATTTACCACAAATGGCAAGAGAAAGAAAAACTGGGCTGAGGAAAAGCACCTCACAGACAAAAAAACAACATCATGCATGCTCCAAGTAACAGAGATGTACAATGAGTGAGCCTGCCAAATCTGAATTCTTTGGGCACAGCTACAATTCCATCAGTAGGACATTTCCAAAAGAGCTCACGTGCAACCTGCCACATGCTGATAAATAGTAAGTACAGTAAAGCATTTTCAGGAACCATTTTCCAAAAACCCATGACCTACTCCATTGTTTTACTCTGTTGCTTGCATACTTTCCCATCTCAAAGATTCTGGAAACCAATTATTCCTTTCATTCCTTTTTCATTCCACTTTCATTCCTTTTTCATTCGAGCTAGGATAATTCAAGTGCACACTATGTATCAAATCAAATGTACATGAGAACAAGTGGCCATTCCTTCCCCAAGAATATTTACAGTAGCTTCCAGTTTTTTAAAAAATGTGGACTAGGTCAATTAGGGATAAAAACCAGAACAGAAACCAACTTGGAGGAAGCAGAGGGAGAGAGAGAGAGATGCTGCCAAACTCCCAAGATAAGGTTATAACTACAATTTGGCTAAATTTTCTGGCAGTTAAAGCAGAAAAGAAAGCACATTGTTGCATACTTTCCATTTTCTGACAAAAGAAAGTAAAAAAAATTATCTTCAAAGATGGAACTCTTTCCTTAAACACACTAAAGAAGAATTTACCCATGAAATGTGGCCTACGGGACAGCTGCATGGGTAAAAAAAGGGGAAAGGTGGGGAATCTCCAAAACTGTTCACTGCAGGCATGCACACAGCATGTGATGAATAAAGAATTTAAATAACACCCAGCCATTAAAAGATTCTTGCATTCACTTTCCACAAAGACAAGGAATAACTTTAATTTGCATTTCAATCCCGACATTTCTATGTGCAGTGGGGGAGAGTAAGAAAACCACTTCCAAAATTTTGCTAAGAACATGCAACTTTAGATACACATTCAGACTATCACTATCAAATATTGTATCTTTAAGTTGAGGTTATTACTTAAGTCCTCATCAAGAGAAGTGCTATACACTGGTTTTAAGCAGACTCTCACCATTTGATTGGGAAAGACTGCAATGCTTTTGACTTATTCACCAACTACATATCCACTCTTCACCCGCGTGGTAAGCAGATAAAGATGCGAACACAGCTGAGTGAACGCTGAGACTGGGAGGGGCGTCAGTAACTAGTCGGGGACTAGACCATGTCAGTTACACATCAAGGGAGGCCAGCGTGGGTCTGCCTCCGGGACTCAAAGGAGCGGGGGCTTGAACTGGTTACAAGTGGCTCTAGAAAAGTGAAGTACCTGAATGTTCTGTATTTACAAATCCACTACAAAGACTGTAATAGCCTTAGTATCCTCATCAAAATGGTGACATGAAGTTTTAAGGAACTAAAGGTACTTTGAAGGGGGGAAAAAGATTTGTGATAAATGCTAGACGGCAGTGTTAAAAGATGATTCCTTATTTTAATATTCAAAAAAGTATGATTGTAGTTGTATAAAGTACAAAAGTAAATGGAACTATTTATGATCTCGGAGCCAGGACAGCAGACTGGAAGGGGCACCGGGGGCCTCGCAGGGCCCAGGGCCCCAGATGCACAGGTGTGCTCAGCTTGGGGGAATTCAGCAGGCCAACTACACCCTTTTCTGCATGTGTATTTGAATAAGAAGTTTTAAAAGATCTCAAGTAGCTGTATATTTTGCACCTAATATCTTCAATCTTGAAGAAAGTAGCTTTTTAGATGAACGGTATCAATTCTGTTCTTAAAACTAACTTTTCAACTCCAGAAAACAAGAGCTCCTACCCTTCAGCATAGTGGAAACTCTAAGATTAATTTTGTTTTTTCAGATTCACTGCCTACTTTTAGGCATTCATTTCAAAGGATGATTTTAAACTGGAAGTACACAGCCACAGAGAAGGATAAATGTTCCCCTGTATTTTTCCACAATTACACATTTGAGCTCATGAGTAATACGTTTGCCTTCACAATGTGGTAACAACCCTGGGATTCTGTAAGTGTCCACTGACCCACACTATCCATCCTGAATCTATTCCTATCCTTTAGTGGAGGGAAAAAAACATTTATTTGACAATTCCCTATTGTCTCCAGTTCAGCAATAGGTTAAATCGCAATTGCATTAGAACCAATAAGAGAAAAACAACAGTTTCTCAGAAGGAGCCGAGAGGGCCACTCTTTTTGTACTTATCTTAATGCTAAAAGGATCAAGGCCTGTCGTGCTGATGAGTTCTGCTGGACGACAGCCCAGCTGCCAGTGCCTTCAATCACCACAGAGTAAGCAACAGCAAATTCTTAAGGGACTCAGTGCATTGTCAAGTTCAAGCTGCTTCCCTGGAAGGCAGTCAACAGGGACACACTGCTCTCGAGACCTGGAGTTTTTGTCTTTTCTATGAATCATCAGAGTGTTTCTCAACACGTGGCTGAAGTTCCACAGCCCACGAGGCCCCTGCACCAGGTCTGCAGCCTAAAGCAAGAGGAAGACTTGGAGAACCAAGTGGGAGACCATCATTGCCATGGAACGATCTTTGTACTAAGTCCAAGATCTGCTCCCTGATTCTAAGATAGGAAAAATAAGATGGGAAGAAGCAGCAAAGAAACAAGGAACACAGCTTTACATAAAAAGAGGTCAAACAGGTGTTCAGAGACTAAGTTACAACACTGCTGTGTAAACTACTACGCAATCAGACATTAGCGTCAGACACACAGCAAAAGACCCCCCTTAACAGAACTGCGCATCTTCAGAGAGAAGCCTAAGTTTGCTGGGGCTTCCTCACCAAATAAGGAAAATGAACAACAGTACAAATGAGGAGAAAGAATCAAGAATGGAGGGCATCACAGGCCAAGGTATAAAGCTTCAGTCGCCTGTCCTGTGGGTCTGGAGACAGTGGCCTGTGCAGAGAGGAAAAGGCACTTCTGAGTATGACACGGATGCTCAGCAGAGCAACCCATCTGGGTCATGAGAAATCGCTCATATTCTCACTGTGACCACTTCTCTTACCCTTGAGGGTAAGGACCCTGGGGAAGGGTCCTGCTGAGGAAACTTAAACGGGAAGAAGAGAAAGTACTTTTTCAACCTGCTGGAGTCTGACCTCCAAACACGATGGCATAATCAAGTTCCAGTAAATCCCCAAAGCCTCCGACTGGGGGCATAGCTTGTGCACCTAGTGCACAGTGTTCCTAACAGTAGCCACCACTGCTGCTGACCAAATGTTCAGGATGTAGACTCATCCACCCCCACAACGGTCCCTTCCCTTCAAATCTTAGATCAGAATCCTTGAGCGGGGAGAAGGAACGTGAGATGCTTTCTCAACTTTTCCTAGTATGGCATCCTGAACAAGTTACTAGGTTACCTGGGCTTCCATTTCTCCACCTATAAAATGCCAGAATCAGATTAGCTGACGTATACCCTTTGGTCTATAAATTATAGCTAAGTCCTGCTCGACCCACCTCACCAAACTGTTACAAAGAATTGGAAGGGAAAAAAAGAAAAGCATACAAAAGTACTAGTTTGAGGTATTACAATTAATAGTGTTAAAAGTATGACTGTTAGCCTTAAAATAATTCAGCCAAGTCATTTAAGCGATGGACCAACCTGCACACTCCGACCAGCTTCCCCTCAGCGGAGCCCCTTGGGAGACACTGTGAAGTCGGAAGGCGTAAGGCAATGCAGACTGTGGAACGCCACAGCCCGAGTCAGGCATGGCCAGAGGTGGAGATGGAGCTGCCCCCAGAGCAAACGAGGGCAGAGGACTAGCTGTGCTGGGGACAGGCAATAAGCAGGGGCAGCGAAGTGACCAAACAGACGCGGAAGGAGGAGACAGGCTGGGAACAGGAGGGAACGAAGCAGTGTGGGGACAGAGTTGGGCAGTAATCAGGTACACTCCGAACACAATCCGTAACCTCTCCAATATAATATAAATCACCCCCATTCACTTTTGCAAGTTGCATAAGAGGAAACAACTCTTAAGAATTTTCTTCCTGCCGTGGCTGGTGTGGCTCAGTTGGCTGGAGCGTTGTCCCATACACCAAAGGGTTGGGGGTTCAATCCCTGGTAAGGACGCATACCTAAGTTGCAGTTTTATTTCCCCATTGGGGTGTGTATGGAAGGCAACCAATCTCTCTCTAAAATCAATGAAAATATTTTTAAAGAATTTTTCGCCTGTTCATCAGTCACTCATTAAATTGGATATACTATTACATTGTTTTTTTGCTTTTTAATAAATCAGCTAATTAAAATGAATTACCAACTATTCATATTTTTTAAATCCTGAGATGTATTCTGTGATAAAAATAATCAGTGTTTAAACAAATGCACTGAAATATCACAAACAGTGGTCATAGTCTCAGCAGGAAAGAACCTGTCTTTATAGAATATAACCTAGACACCAAAGCCATGGTCCAACAAAAATCAGAGCCACTGGAGGTGACCAGGGGCGGTCCTCTGCCCACAGGCAGACACAGTGCCCCACCCGGCTCCAGCCCTCTGTGACTCGGCCGACTCATTACTAGACAGCACCTGCACACAAACAACGCTCAGAATTCCCTTCTGCTGTTCCCAATGCGTTTTTCTCCAATTATATCTAAGTATCTCCCAGGAACATTTTTTTCTGCCTCTAATCTTTTCTCCAAGGATAAACAATAAGGAAGTTATTTTCTCCCACTTGCTTACAATGACATAATAATTAATCTCTTAGTTGATTTTTTAAAAAGATTTATTTATTTTTAGAGAGAGAGGAAGGGAGGGAGAAAGAGAGGGAGAGAAATGTTGATCAGCTGCTTCTCGCATGTGCCTCCAATGAGGACCAAACCTGCAACTCTGGCACGTGCCCTAACAGGGAATCAAACTGGCGACCTTTTGCTTTGCAGGATGACACCCAACAGGCTGAGTTACACCAGTCAGGGCTGTCAGTTGATTTGGAAAAACTGCTTAAAATATATGTTTCCTATGAGTAACCGGCCTTAGTTACCCAAGTACATGAGCAAGGGATCTGCGCACAACAGAATTTCCAAAGGACCGAGCCAACATTTTGGCAAACCGTCCACTCTGCTTTTCTGGGGCACTCGCCAACACTCGCCGCTCAGCATTCCAGCCCTTTAAGTGCATGCTCCCCTGACCCCATTAGGTCCCAACACTTTTAAAACACGGCGGGCCAAGGGCATCAGCCTCCTGCTGGGATCACATATAACATGGGTAAAGAGAGGGCAAATAAGAAGGGAAAGCAGTAAGACAGAAAAATGTAGTTTCCAGTATGTTCCTAAAAGCAGTGTTCATCAAAATGCTGCCACAGAGCAACACTATTTTCAAGGAATCGAGAAGCTAGAAGAGTGTTAAAATCCTGACTGGCCACGGGCATCACTCCGGCCTCCGCTCGCGGTTGTGTAACTACTTCCCAGCATTCCCTGGTCCTCAACCATCTCTCCTGTGAGTGTTACATAGTTGTTGAAAGCGAAAGACGTGAAATATCTTTCAAATCCCCAAGTAACTGTCATGTCCCAAACAAATGGTTATTAATTAATAACACGTCTCCATATAAGAAAAAACCCCAGAACCTATACTTAATGATTTAAAATGTTGTAAGTGAATAAAAAGCAGTACATTATCTACAGTAAGGCTTTTTCTAAGAGATCATACCAATTTGTGTACTAACTGAAAATTGATGCCACCATTGGGAATCGTTAAAAAAGTTATTATACACCCCGCTGTCTAAAATACCTGGATCTATTTCCCTGATCACACTATTTACACCACAATATCTACTCCCCCCCCCCATCTGCCCTTCCACGCGACAGGTCACTGCCAGACAGGAGTCACCAGCCCAGAATTCCCCGGCTACATCTGCTAGGTCAGGGGGCAGCCCCCTGATCCCTTCCTCTCGGGGACTGGCACCCGACTTTTAGGTCCTGTGGGTCCCGTCACCCTGGCACCCTCTGGTCAAGGTGAGCCCTTTAGGGAACAAGTCCTCACTTGGTGGGAGAGCCTCGTCCACCCTCTGGTACCGGCTCACGTCCTGGCGCACTGAAGGCAGCGACCGCAGGGGCTGGTGGCCATCGGTTTGGGAACCTAGGATCAAAGGTAAGACGTCATCCAGGTGTTGTTTTCCCCTTCGGCGTCCAAACGGTCTTAAGCAGATGAACACGCACACCTGAAACTAATGTATGATTGTACTATTGTATGCCAACCATGCTTTAATAAAAACTTTTTAAAAAACCTAACATAAATCATGGGGCTTGTCTCTTTTCTCTCGAGTCTCATTTCCCATATGAAGACCCAGAAAGCACAGGAAACAGGAGAGGAAGCCTCAGTCAGAAAAGGGTCGTCTGGAGAGATGTCCATCTGCACCCATCTGCCCCGCCCCAGCCTGTTCCCTCCCTGGCCTCTGTCCTGGTCACGCACCAGTGCCTTAGGGCCACTTTCTGCGTGGCCACAAGATGATGAAGGAAACAAAACAAGACAGAGGAGGAAGAAAAGAAGGGGCATACTCTTGGTAGAAAAATAAGTTACAGAATAAGAAAAGTATTCCTGTTCCCAAGCCTGTTCTATTCAGACATACAAAATTATCCTTACACTCCTCATGCATCTATGACAGAATCATTCTACTGAGCCGCATGCCCTGAGACATGAGACAATCTTTGTGTAGGTCTGCATCCTGAGACATTCAGACAGAAGGCAAAAATAGTACATTTGATGCAAAGCCCTTATTACTTTCCCTTTGGAAAGTTTTATGCAAGAAGGTGCGACCTCTGTAGACTACGCCAACGTTGAAGCTGCTGGCCTGTTTGATTTTTGTATCTACAAACCCAGGTCCCACTAGTGATTCATTATTTAAGTTTGTTCTTGTTTCCACACTGCCCGGGCAAGGGAACCCGGGATGCCTTGCTTCAGCAGGCACAGGCGTAGGTCTCTCCTGCACCTCTGCCCTCGGGCATCCGGGCCCTCCAGGCCTGTGTGGACAGGGGTGATGCCCCACCCCCACCCCCACCCTACGGGCAATCTTCCTGGGGACAGCAGCTCCCCACACTGTATTTCTGATGCGGAGCCTTAAGATTCATTATTTAAGTCTAAAGACTTACTCAACAGGCCTCTTACCTCAGCATTAGAAGACCCATTGAAAAATAAAAGTAAAAACTAACCATTGAACACCAAAACACCAAGGTGAAGAATTCAGACAACAGTAGACCTGCAATATAATTTACATTAGGGACAAAACCACAAGACTTGTCTCTCAGCAGGAATGCTTGAGCGAAGAGCCGTGCTGTCCTCTACATCCTACCTCCAGTAGCGCCCTCCTCCTGGGCAGCGGCCCCTTCGCAAGCCCCCTGGGCGTCCCCGGCATCACCCTCTTCTGGGGGCTGGCTCCCGGCAGCGGCAGAGGCAGAAGCAGTGGCAGCTCCCTCTAGGCTGTCCCTCCGCTGCCAGACCTCCCCAACCTCATCCTGGTCAGGTAGAGCGGCCGATTCTGCCCCCGGCCCTTCCTCCTCTCCGCTGGGCACCTGCACCACAGGAAGAGAGCCAGGAGTGCATATGGAATCTGGTGACCCTTCGGCCGGGCCACTGCTGGTGGGTTCTGCTGCACAGGCTGCATCTTCCTCCTCCTGAGAAGAAAAGGCTGGGGTTTCGGGAAACCGCGCACTCTCGAGAGATGAGCACCGGGTCTCCACCGAGGACAGCTGCGTGGTGACGCTCTCGTTGCAGGAGCTGTCAGCGCCTTCCAGGTCACTCTCCCCCTCGGGCCTGGTGCTGGCCTCGCTCACGCTCTCTGTCCTGGCAGGGTCACTGGGCTCTGTTTCCGAGGACACCTGGGAAGGCTCAGACGCCTGATCAAGGGACTCAGTCTCACTGATGGCTCTCCGGCTTCCTCCCGAAGCGTCCGAGGTCCCTGTGTCTGCCCCACTCGCGGGCTGATCTACCTCTTGAGAGCCACACAACTCCGTGCTGCCCTGGTCGGCACTGGGTTGAGACTCTGGGCCATTTCCACTTCCATCCGGGACGGGGCCGGAGAGCGAGGAGCTCTCCGCAACTTCTGGAAGATCTTCCGGCTTCTCCTCCAAGGAAGCAGCATCCGTTGTGGAGGCTTCTTCAATCTCCAGAGGGTTGTCTTCTGGCTTTGTCTGAGACGTCAGGCTCACGTCATCAGTTCTCGATGCCCTGCTAAACATTATTAACCCTCCTTCCTCCTCCAAAGAAGATGGGTAGCCCAGGTCCTGCTGGAGCTCATGGTCTTCTTCATCTGAGTCGATATGAAGCATTGCATTGAGTCTTGTGTCGGTGGGAAAACTACTCCTGAGTTTCGGAGAGGCTCCCATGGACCTCTCCGAGCAGGTAGCTGCGCTCGGCCTGGAATGACCGTTGTGTTCAATAGCATCTAAATAATCATTGAGTGAATCCTGACGTCCTCTGGAAGGGGAGGTCCTCGAAGAAGTAGAGGCTAAATCCTCTGCGTCTATTTCCAGAGTAGAGCTAGTCCTGAAAGAATGCTTGGGGGTCCCATCCGCGCTGTCCTCGGAAACTGGCCCGTTGGAACACACCGGGCTGTCACGGTGGCCCCCTGGCAGGTCCTCCTCATCGGAAGGGCTTCCGAGGTCTCCGTTCACAGAACTGACCCCAAGTATTGTGCCAACAGCTTCTGGAGAAGCATCTGAGGGAGAAAACAGTGGTTACAAAAATGAAGCAGTATTATAACAAATGAACTTTGAACATCCTATTGCTTTGCCACCATCAGTTCAAATAATTCAGTCACCCCCCGAGTCTCCTTCCAGGCTCACCGACTACTCTCTACTAACAAGCACACTGCCGGTCACTCTCTCATCTGAGGTGTATGTGCTCACTACTGTATGTGCTCACTGCTGCTGGAAATTCCACAGCCCAGTCTCCAAGTGCAGGTATGAACCTGAGTGATATTTTTGGTAAACAGGCTTTCATCACTGCTTGAGCAACGTCAGCAGGTAACCACCGGACAGCTATTTTATTTTCAGAACAGGACACAAATTCGATTCTATTCAAATGCAGGCTGAAAACTGAGTATGATTCAACAGGGTTTTCCTACAGGGATGTATTCATGCCAGTGTCTCACCTTCGTGCACAGAAGATGTAACCTCTACTTTAAACTGCAGGTACCCACTCACATGGTCAGCGGGGAGTCTCCTGCCAAGGTTGTAGCTGAGCATTTGATCACTGCAAGAGGAGAAACGGTTCTTTCATCCTTATACACTGGTGTCCACCTTCCACTTCTTCCCACAGACCACCCCTCGAGCCCCATATATTTCCTTTAAAACTTTCAGACTCATAAGAAAAGGCTCAAAGGCATGTTACAGTCCAATGTAATATTCATTCGCACAAGTGGATATTTATAAACCCAGAGATAGAGGAAAGCTTGTCAGAAGGAAAATCATTAGTAAAAGCAGAAGATGCAATACAGTGTTATTTCTTTAAAGCGCACTAACTTGTTCTCTTGCTGCTCAGGGTGACCAGGGAAAGGACATTTTGAAAGTCATCAAGGAGCTGTGAAAGGCCAAATATTGTGGGTGCTTTGGGACTCAGGTGTGAAATATAGTGGGCCTGGTTCCTCAGCAACGAGCACCATAAGGAGCTGGTTCTAAAAGGACCTCCCAGGCGAGGGTGTCACATGCTGCTGCATTCTGAAGAGTGGGGGCAGAGAGTTAGGAGAGAGCAGCTCAAGGATGAGGACGGGCCACGCTCCAGCGACTGCTCCAGTTGTGTGAAGGGCAGGGGGCCGCTGAGCCCCCAGCCTTCCTCACCAGGAAAGTAAAGGGGCTGGAGCTTTCGGCTCTCACTGTAGAAGCACCTGGCCACTATCCATTCTCAGGGTGGCATGTCAGTGATACTGATGGGACAGTTGGAGAAACTAGATGTGCCAGTGTGGTACATCTTGTCACACCTGGAGGCGTGCCGAAGGGGACCTCAAGTGGGCCTGCCTGCTTTCTGCCCACCTTGGCCTCTGGCTCATGCTACCAGCCTCCTCAAGGACAAAGCTGTCCATCTGTTCAATTCCCTGTTTATTCATCAAAGGCAAATGCAGTCACATCACTTCTTTGTACGCAAGTAACTTTCATTCTGAATGTGATTTACATTTAATTAAGGGTAATAACCAAAGGCAGAGGACCAAGTCACCCCATCTCTGCTCTCACACTGCCCTCTTGTGGCAACTTCAGGAGGAGAACACAATGCTTCTGCCTACTTGTACCACAGTTGAGTTCAGAGGCTCTAGTCAGCTTAGTATCAACCTGCACAATGATTTGTGCTTCTCTACTTGCTCAATTCTAAATAGATGCCATCCGTTTAAAAGAATGCATGCTGTGTAAAATCCCAGTTCAGCTCTTACAAATTTCTTTGACTTCACAGCAAGAATTTCATAAAACAGTAAAATTATATCCTTTACTGTTTTGTTTTCCTTCCCTAGAAACATCGTAACGTTTTTCTGGAGTGATGCTTTTAAAATACTTTTGTCTCCCCAAATGGAGTGTTTATTGTGGCCATTCAAACTCTGCTATGGAATTTTCCTGCATCGTTGCTTTGAATCCTCCTGGCAAAGCCAGAGGGAGGCGGGCAGCCAGCCCTGTTTGCTCGCGACACAGGAAGAACGAGTGACTCGCCCACGGCCAGACAACCGTGCAGTAACAGAACCGGCATTAGAACAGGGAGTCACCTGACGAGGAAGCCCCTGCTCTGCTGTCTTATTTGACAGCATATCAGTCTTATTTGACATACAATCTTAGTGACTCTGCACTGCTTCTAGTAACATGCATCTTAGTGACAGGTATTTACTCCTGGCTCACCTCAGTGTGACCGCCATCAGAATGCTTTTCCTACTGAACGTAGTATTTAGAATTTTTTTCTTAGGCATTTGTAACTAACACGACATGATAGGTATGTTCAATCCTTCTACATCAGAGTGGTCAAATGACACTATATAATGGCTGTAATCTGCGTAACAGCAGGGCTGCCTCCACCGCCGTCTTCCCAGCACTTACGCAGGACCTGACACTCCTGGGGACTCCACCTCTGCCCGCGAACACCGCGCCCAGTGGCAATCACACGGACCTGCTGCAGCATTGTGGCTCCTCGCCCCCCTCTTAGGACACGCAGTCCTGGGATAATGAAATCTTCCTGCGTTTGTTAAAACTAAATGGACTCCTCCCCTCTGGCCAATAAAAGTGTTGATGACGAAGACTTACAAAGTGATGCATTTTAGCTAGGAAATCAATGTTGAGTAGGAACTGTAAGGGAAGAACTGAGCCCATCTGCTTTGCTCACTGTAATATCCACAACACCCAACAAACACAGTGCTAAACGTTTAGTAGACACTATTTATGTACACACACATATACACCCATACACACATTTGTTGAGTATAAACTCATTAACAAATGAGACTCTTTACTTGGAAAAAGTAATTTTAACAGGTGTTAGCGCTGTTTATTAGCCACACTGACAAGTTCCTCAATTCAATTATTCAGCCTACAAATACAGGAAATCCTCTGTACTGAGAGATTCTGAGTCAAGGTTTTCGTCCTGGGCTGGGTGCCTGTCAGGGGCTCACTTGCTCTCCTGTTCTTACCAAGTCTCATCTGACTCAGCCTGCCTCTTGACGTGATACATTATTATGAACAATAAATTATATACTATTATGATATATAATTATAAAGAGTAAGTGCCAAAGAACTCTTGCTATCTGACTAAAACGTTTCTCACTAACATAACCAGAGCAATTAACAAAGCATGGGAAAGTGAGGTGCTTCTGGACAGAATGCGGGCCTCTCTAAAAAATGCCAGACTCAAACGAACGCTCTCAAAGTGGGTAATTAGTAAGGAGTTCTAGCTCACCCTGCAAAACCACACCCTGGAAAGCCCAGCGACTTGATACTTCCAGTCTACCGAACACATAATGAATGAATGAAAACCCAGCATTTTTCAAGATGTATCGATTACTAGATGGAAAACAATAATCAGGTCAGAAATACATGTTTTGATGTTAATATATGATCTACTGATGTGTAGTATGTATGATTTTCAATAAAGCAACCCCCTAAGTATCCGTATCAGGCAATGCTTCTCATGTACATTACAATTTCATAATTGTAATACTTTATGAAGTCACGCTGGACATCTTTCCAGTACACGTGGGCATGGTCACTGGCAGTTCTCTGGGCACCCGGTTCTTTAAAGGACTAAATGAAAAAGCCTGCAAGTCAATAACAATTTCAAACACTGACAAGGTTTTATTTTCCCTTGATCATTCTTACTGGCATACATAAATCGACACTTCTGCCAAGTGTCACTTTTTATTATGTAAATTATATCATTATATAAATTAAATGGCACCTATATTTCCCGTAGTTAATTCTCACTTTCTGTAATCTTTCACTTTCCATAAATACTAAAAATACTTCTAAAAGCTTTCCAAAGTACGTTATTTCCTCTAGAAGCAATAATTATTATGATTGAAGATAATTGGATTTCCCAGCTTGGATCAGATAAGCCAGGCTGCTGGAATTTCAGTATAACATTTATACTTCATGTGGGCTGACTCATGCACAAAGTCCATTGCCTCTGATGGCAAGGGTTAGAATCCACTAGAATCTCATAGTTTCAGATTTTTAAGGGGTCTTAGAGATGATCTGGCCTAAATGCTTTCTTTTCCAGATGAGAAAAATAACACCCAAGGAAACTATGACATGCAGACAGAGTTGATCAGCTTCAGAGTGAATGCGGGTGAGCACCCTTCCGCGGTTAGCTAGAGCGATCTGCCCATCCCGCCCATCCTGCCGGTCCTGAGAGTGTCGCAGAGAAGCCCAGGTTCTAGAGCAGACTAATCTGTACTCCAATCCCAGTGCCACCACTTGCTGGTTAGCCTCAGATCCCTCATCTCTGAAATGGGTATAATTCCATTCTTTACCTCCCAGAGTTGTTGAGAAGATTACATGAACTAATGAGTGTAATGAACTCAATCCCTGACACAGAGTAGGCTTCCAGCATCTCTTCTGTTTACTACTACTGCTACAACTACTGTAACGATTAATACTGTCACTACCGATCCTGCTGCCGTGACCGCTAGTACTACTGCTGTTGCTGCTACTACTCTTCCTCCCCCTCCTCCTCCTACCACCACCGCATGCTCTAAAGTTCTCTGACTACATACGAGAGAGATTCCAAAGCCCCGCCCCTCGGTGCTACCTCAGAGCGCCACAGTAACTGAGTGTTCTGGTGCTTACCATATAAAAATAAATAGACCTTTTATAATAAGGGATGGGGGCAGGCTATAGTTTCTTAACTATTTTTTCCACACGTTACAAAAGGCTCACAGACAGAAAACAGACATCAAAAGTAAATTTTAGTTGCCTGAGCGAATGTGTAGATTCACTAGGATCTATAGAATTCTAGTAATTCTACCATAATACCCCCTCAGAGTTTAGGTCTTTAATGGCCCTGAAACAAGGTGGTCATTGTTTCTTGGGAACCACAGTTCTCTGGATGGGGTCAACCAGGATAAGCGAGGTGTCCCCCCCACACTAGGGTTCTGATCTAGTGAGAGGCACTTAGAGAGAAAACAATTGAGCACTACGATATCAATATCAATATCGAATGCCAAAATGCTAATGGTAGGTACATCTTGAAAAAGAAAGATACTCACAAAAAATGGTACATAATTATTTTTCTATCCTACCCATTTTAATGGACGCACATTTTCATTTTTAAAAGAAATATGTCATCACTTCTTATCGGTAAGAAAAGCTGGAGGGCTGAAAATAAGAGGATCATTTCTGCACAGACTAATCCCCCAAAGGCCCCAGCGTGTGAGGGATGGTTACCCGATGGCCTGCCGCTCCAGCAGCCTCTGGACCGGAATGGTCAGTTTCCCCAGGAAACGCTTGATGATAGGACGGCTCTTGGCAAATTTGTCTTTAATTTCAATTTCTAAGACATCAGTGAGAAGTGCAAAAAAGGAATATTTCTGAAAACAGATAACAGGTTGATTTTTAAAAGGCAAACATGAAATTATATCATTTACATGACAGAAACTGGTATTTGAACCCTAATGCCGTACGGAGTCTGCACTGGTAGAAAGGTCTGCAGCTCTCCTCAGTCCTTTGTTCACTCGTAATCACCAACATTCACAAGGATTAAGAAGCAGCAGTGAAGGATCTGCACGACCAAGGAAGCCCCTCAGTCATTCGCCCTTTCCTGGTCCAACCATTTTAAGAGATGCTATTAAATATTAACCTGTGCACAATATAATTTCAGTACTCACCATGTTTGTCTGAACTCTTTGACATTTAATACCCTGTCATAGGATGGATTAGAATTAACCAATACATTTGGTTAGTAGCAATTTTAATGCCTTACCCCATGTTATTTAGAAGTTGCACAATATAGGTTAAAACACCACTTTGCTTAGTGGTTAAAGTGTTTTAGGAACATCTACAGAATACTATGGCTTCCTTGGTAAATAGGAAAATAAAAACAATGTTTAAGTGGAAATTAATTTAAAAGGCACACTGGGTCATTTCCTTTTGGACAGAAAAATAAAAGTATGAGGTTAAGATAAGCTTTGTTGTTTGGTTTAAGAGTATCACTGGAGAAGATAAGATTGGAGATTAATAACCATATAAAATATCATTATATAAAGAGTTTTCCTTCTTTGGAAAATCTTTCACACACACTAGCTTCACTTTATCTTTACGATAGTAAAATTTTCTTTTTAACACGATGCCCTCAGGAATCTGTCCTGAATCCCACTTCACGTCTTCCCTGACGGTACCCAGGACACCACGGTGACATGCCCCGTGCTAGCCAGTGTCACACTTAGGCACCACTAACTTTGTTTAGTCTTTACAAAGTTCTCCCAAGAGCCATGCAGTTCAGTAATCTGCTTAACAAACAAAGCACTTGCTTAGAATAAAAGAGCTGAGTTGAAGCATTACTTCTGCTTCTAAATAGTTACTTACATTAACACTTCAAGCTTCTGTTTCTTACTCATAAAAATAGAGAGATGATCATTTCATCCCTTACACCCTCCCTCCCACTCCAACCACCCCTATCAGGTGCACATTAGTAGTGTGGTTAAGAATTCTGTAAATACTAAATGTGAGGAAAATGAAGTTATTGCTAGTGTCATTACCATATCCACCCTCTGCCTTCTAGAGCTCTTACTGAGATAAATGTTATGTTTTCTAATGGTTAAATTGGGTGGCATGTCTTTAAAAGTGATTATTTACTATTTGGAGATACTAAGTATATACTAGTTTTTTGAACCAGTAATAAGAAAACATGCATTTATCTATTTCAATAACCATAAAAATTGCCCAGGAGAAACATCTTGCCGGGCTGGCAAGTTCTCAAATAGCCATATCTTTTCTCCAATTGGGTTTTGAGTTCCCCAGCTATCTCCCTCTCCAGGGAAATATTTCCACAACATCGTTAGAACATGTTATTGCCATTAAATATTTAGAGAACGATTTAATCATTTTAATTATTTATCCCAATAAACATTTATCCATAAACACTCTAACTAGTATTTGATATGTGTCTTGGGTCCCAAAGAAATGGCGGGCGAGCTCATGTTTTGCTCCCTAGATGAGAAACTAAGCTTAGATGCTCCCTACGATGTCTCCTTGATCATCCTTCGACTCCCCGCAGTTCTCTGAAAAACCCCCTCTGTCTGACTGCACTGACATGGCGCCCTAAACTGGCTGGTCGCATAGTGCAGCTGTGAGAAGGTCGAAAGTACCAGCAACACAGTCTGGCCTCACTCAAGATGACAACGCTTTGAATGGCTCATTTAATTTATCGAAATCTAGGAATTCAAAAAACATTTACCAAAACCTGCAGGCAGAGAAATCCCTTTCATTTGTACTGAATATGTGCTAGAACAAACTATCGAAATTTTAAATAAAAACAGAATCATCATCACAGATTTTTCTTTCTATCTCAAGCTCCAACATGACTCTGAAAGGCATTGTTACTGATCCCAGACTTCCTTCAAAATTTAATACTTTGTTCTTGTTTTTTTTCATTGATTTTGACTTTTAAAAAATATGTTGTATGCTCACTTCAGCAGAACATACAAATATATTGCATTAAAGTACAGGGTCTGGCACAAATAATGCCCCTTTCTTATTGCAAAATCTTTTATTTCAAGATCATAAGCAAGTAATTCTGTAACATAACAACAGCACACTCAAGCACACCATATGACATTTTAGGTGAAATGTTCAAATTAAAACTATAAATTATTACACCCATATTATTACCCTACCAACCACACTCAAGCAGGCTTTATTTTTGCCAGACCCTGTATTTGACTTTTGAACCTTTTAGCATCTGTGAAATTGTGCACCCGAGGCGAGTGCCTCACATGCGTTATCCTAGACCCGGCCCTGGCTGGAAGGGAGCAGTACCTCATTCTCACTGTGCCCTCTTTCTAAGAGATCCGGTAGATAGCTCGACTATCTTGTCCACACCCAAACTCAGCTCAACAATAACTGTCAAATACAAGACCCCCGAGGATCACCTTACCTCTCTGTGCCAAATTGGATTAGTGGTGTTACTGATGATGGTAGACCTTCTCTCCTGCCCATGGTGGGCACAGGTGGGGAAACTGCTCTTCTTGCCGGGCTGAATGGACATCTTAAGGTAAGGGTCTGGATTGAAGAACATCCCTTTCTTTAGCCCAACAGCTCTCAGATCTTTAAAGAGAGAAAGACAGAAAGGAGGGAGAGAAGGAAGGGACAGAAGGACAAGCAGCTCAATAACAATTGTTCTTTAATAATCATTCAGAAGGCTCCAAACAGAAGCTGTTCAATAAAGCACTAACAAAGTTTTTCTCACTACAATCGGTTATATAAGTGAGGACAAACGGGTTATGACGAATTCCAGCAGAGGGTTTCCTAACAGGCTGTGAAAAGGAAACCCAATGTTTACATCTTACACACCTACACACACTTGGGAACCATTTAGATTCTAACGCTCATGTGGTTTGGAAACCAGCATTTCAGACAGTATCTTGAGAGAAAGCCTTAGTCAAAATTTATTTTTTAAAAACCTAATAGTTTCCTTCATGAGAGAAAAATGAAATCTTCTACATACATATGTGAAATACACTACATACATACATACACTACATACTACATACATATGTGACCCAAGTTTAATTGGGGATGACCCTTCAGAGCACACACCCAGTTACGCCCCATTTAAAGGGCCACATGTATTCCACAAGCGCCATGAACATTAGGAGGAAACAGGGACCAGAGATGTTTCTGAAATCCGAATGCTGCCTGCTGCATTGAATAGTTGTGAGGTTACACTTTCAACAGCCCAATTTACTTCAATATTTCATGAATGTCCTATAACTCATCTTAGATTCACCAGCTGTTATTTCACACTCTATGAGCTGCTAAAAGTTCTCACTGAAGTCTGATTAGTGAAGAGACTGACTTTTTTTTCAATGGCTGAGCTAAGAGATAGAAAAATGTCAGGAAATAAAGCTGGTTTGACTGAGTCCCCAACCCTTTTCTGAGAATATCAGTTTGAATAAGGTTGGCCTAAAAGCCAAGTGCTTTTGAAAGCTTCTGGAAGAATAGACTATTTCCGTAACTATACAGTTACGTTCAGTCTAGGGAGGCCCTGACCACTGATTCAGACAGAAATTCTGCACGTGGCCTATGAACCTTCAAAGACCTTTGGATTCCCCAGATCAGCTGAGGAGGAGACCCTGAAGACTGACCCTAAAGTACCGGAGGTCAGCAGGGTCATCCTACTTAATCTCATTTATGATACACCAAGTCTTTTTAGAAGGACAGAACTGGCCTGGGGTTGCCCATAGAACCATAATCTCTAGGGACTGCTCCCTGGAGGAGGTTCGCCTCCTCATCTGGGCCGACAAGAACTACTTGTGGCCTAGATATCTGTGTAATGAAAACAGACTGGGAGCGTCTCATGATGCACAACTGGCAGTAGAGGGAGGCAGTTGGACATGTTGGTGAAGATTTAAAAATTCAGCCAAGAGCACGTTCTGTTAAGAACATCGCATGAAACAGAGCAAAATCTTTGATCTGAAAACCGGTGGGAGAGGGAAAGACAAGCAAATAATTAGACAGGCACTTCGGAGAAACTGCTGTAATCTCGTTAGCCTTATAGTTCCCATCCCTGGCACTTCCTAATGCCTTTGCATTTTATTATCAATTTAATAATGCTACATGTTTTCACTTGGCTTTATTTAGCATAAAATGCCGCAAGAGAAAAATGCAATTTACATATTTATTTTCTTAACTTTCTTGATTACGTTCACCTCAGATTCCAGCACAGAAGAATGATATTCTTTAGATATTAAATCTACTTCTAAACAAGGGGTTTCTTTGCAGTAAATGAGGAATAACATGTACAGAAATGGCTGCCACGAAGTCTGACCAAGCTAAATTATTCATGCAAAACATTCCTTTGAACACAAAGAATTCCATCAGAAGATTAAGTGCTGTGATAAAAGAAGTCACTGTTAACCCTCATACCAAACTTTTCCACTAGGGACACTGCACACATAAATCTTCATTAAGAAATGCAATAAACTACCAATTATGTGCAGTCTCATCATTCAGTTCCCTTTAGCCTTCTCATTTCTTTTCTTTTTTCTCTCTTTTATTGCCCATAAATATCCACATCACCTAATAGACCAGTGAAGGACTCAAAGTCACAAAAGAATATGTTAAATATCGTGGTTTAAAGTTTTATTTGGAGAAGAGGTTTAAGATATTAATGAAAACACAGCTTTTGTTTCTGCTGTGGAGTTCAGCGATTTGTGCCCCTGCTTATCCACAGATGATCAGGACTGAAGCATTTGCAGGCAGCATTCCACAGAGCTTACATGCTCTTGGGTAAATATTATCACTCACTGTCAACGCAACCAGATTAATGTTTTAGAACCTGCATTACAGAATTGTTTTCATATTCTATAATTTTAGCCATTTTGTATAATATCTGCAAATGTCTGACTATAAGCTAGGAAGCAAGGCCTATTTTTAGCCGGCCGCCATGTGGATTGAGACAGGATGTTGGAAGAAGTATTTAAAGAAGAAACATTTGTGCCCCAAATCTTATGTCCTACTTTTTGGGAAAATGTCCTGGGATTTTCATCTTCTAGGTGGTCATTCTCCCAGAGAAGGTTCATTAACACCCCTCCGAAGTCAAAAGCAGAATGTGTGTATCATATTTAGAATGATACTGATCACCTGGAAGCATAAGGCTGAGCCCCTAAACTAAGAAAACCATGGTGTGGTCAAACTAAATTTCCTGAGCCATGCAGGCTGGCCAGTAGTTCCCTGCTTATAAGAAAGCGTTTCTGCACCTACAGTCCCTGAGGCCTGTGCAGGTCTAAAGCACAGGCAGCCAACTCAAATGTTTTCAAGAGAGAGAAAGACATTGGGTTAGGGGAGTGTCTCACAGGTAAGTGGCACTTGTAAGTGCTCTTCCGAAAACCTAGATATTTTTAAACCCTGAGGGTTCCTACCAAAATATATTTATTGACCAAATTTGAGCCATAAGTCACCAGTTTACAATCTCTGAGATTTGCCAGAAAGCAAAAACAAAAAAGGCTTTCACAGTAAGTAACCTCATACAGGGAGGAGGAGGAGCACTCGAGAACAGACACGGGTGTTCAGCAGGCCCTGGGCCAGCAGTGACCGGCTGACCGGGCCCCTCGGTCATGTGCAATCAGCAATGCCTCACGCAGTATCTGTTTGCAGGACCAGCCTTCTGACGCTCACTCTGAGAATATCTACTTTCATTCACATTTTTTTTGGATCCAAGAAAGTGAAGCTAATTTAAATTTCAGGAGCAGTACACCGATGGAAAAATGAAAACAGAACATCTTACAGCAATGGACATCTGTTAGATTTTATTTCGTATGTGTTATAGTATAGTTGTCTGTTTTAAGAGTCCATTTCAAATACTGATTTTCTTAGCATATCCTTGACTTTATGACTGGCAGTTAATTTTTAAAAAATTAGTGGCTTTCAAACTTTTCTGACAGTGACCTACATATGAAGTAACATTTTACATTAAAACCCAGTATACACTTACAAAAGTGTGTGTATTTTCTTGTGTGAAATTTTTCAGTTTGTATAAACTGATGTTCTACGAAAACCTATTTCCCTTTGGTGGTAAACTGACTTTTTTATTTTTTATTTTTATTTATTTTAATTGTTGTTCAAGTACAGTTTTCTGTCTTTCACTCCCATCCCAGCCCACCCCCCCGTGTTCCCCACCTCCCTCCCATTTTCACCCCCCTTAGTTGTCCATGTGTCCTTCATACTTTATACCATGTGTTCCTGTGAATCCTCTTCCCCTTTTCCCCTGAAATTCCCTCCACTCTGCCCTTTGGTCACTGTCAGCCTGTGAACTGACTTTCTTCTACTCCTTTTTTAATAGCTAGTTTCTTTCTTTCTTCATCCTCACCTGAGGACATTTTTTCATTGCTTTTAGAGAAAGAGGATGAGAGAGAGCGAAACATCGATGTGAGAGAGAAGCACCAACTGGTTGCCCTCCCACACACGTCCAGACCAGGGGTGGCACACACCCAGACCTGGACGGGGGATCAGGAATCAAACCTGCTACATAGGAATGTGCCCTGATCAGGAAATGAACCCCAAACTTTTGATTATAGGACAATGCTCCCACCAACTGAACTACACCAGCCAAGTCTAATTGTTAGTTTCAAATATATAAATCTTTTGTTTCCAAATTATAATAGCATGGTGCCATTTATTTTATTTCATTTTTAATCTTCATTGTATTTTTTTCCATTACCATTTAGTTCCCTTACACCTCCCCCCCCACCGCAATCACCACACGGTTATCAATGTCCATGAGTCCTTTTTCTTTTCAACTAAATAAGTCTTATAAATCACAAATGAATTCCAACTTACAACCACTGCTTTCATTTTATGATAAACATACAAGTGATCAGAATATTTTAGTAACCAGAAAATTAAAATATTGTCTTACGCACTTTCCAGTTTTTATGTGGATTTCTCTACAAAAATAGGAGAATCCCTTCAATTTCCCTCAAGTTCCCACATTTTTCCTTTCTCTTGGTGAGGTCAGCACAAATAAGTTTTAACAACCAAAGACCTAGCATGGGGTTGACACACTATATCATAGATTTTTTTAAGTAACTATACATAATTACAATCTTTTTACCAGCAGAAAATTTGGTAGAAGAAATAACTTTTGAGTTTATATCAATCATCTAATTCAAGGTATACTCGAGTTTCAAGAGTATTACATCCAAAATAAATAAATGACTAGTTCACGTTATCATATGTGAGAATCTGTAGAAAGAAATGACATTCGTGTCTTTAAAATGACACACTTTCAAACTGGACGTCACACTTAAGACAGCCTTACCGGACAACGTGAAGCTGACGAGCTTGCGGGAATGCTGAGTCCCCGCGGCGCCGCCTTCCACGCCCTCGGCCCCCATCTGCAGACAGAAAGCACGTTACCCGAAGTTGCACGGAAGTACCGTACCACTCGGCCCTCTAGAGAATCACCTGTGTTTACGAATAGGATGCCGTTGTACCAAACATGTATTTAGTATATGATTTTCATACGCTACAAATCTTGGAATCGAGACACAAATGCAGATTATCAGAGACGAGAGAAAGGATCATACCCAAGTTTAATATTTACCCAAACAAATATGAGCTTCTAAATTCCCTGGGATATGAGTCAATTATTTTAAGTCCTTTTAGTTCTCTGAAAAGAATATACTTGATACATAGTAAATGTACTTATATTAAATGAATGAATTAAAAAAAATCAAACATCAAACTTCTTCAGATTTGTTCGAAAAACCTGGAATAAACTAAACAGGTGGTTTTTCCGAGACTCATTCACATACATGTAGAATTATCCTCACTTGCCAAACACTTCCGAGTGGCCGTGGGATGTCACATCACCCTCCGGGGGCTGCAGGTAGATGGCCCGTGCTATTATAATTAGCTGTAATCATAATTTACAATGCTATTATGCCAATTACTGTATTGTGAAGCTTTTCCTAAAAGCTTCTGAGTAAAATATATCTCATTGAAACGAGTCATTTATCGACCACATAGCAGATTTAGCCTTTCTCTCAATTTACGTACAATTAGTGCTTGGTTTATGGCAAACTAGGAAAAAAGAGTTTCGTGGTTGCCTGAAAAAAATGACACAATGCTGTAAGAGACAGAATGGAAGGCAGAATATATTTTGAATAGTCAGGAAGTGGAAACCACATTCTAACCCTAAAGTCTACATTGGACCCTTTCATCGTACCTGTGTGGCACCCCCACACCCCTTGAAAAATCATATGCCACCAAGAAATAAAACTTTCACTAATCCAAGAAAAACTGAAAATTTTCAAAATGTGTTCCATTCAAATGTTTAAATATAAACTTCTACTTCCTTCTGTATTTCCTGCAATTTACTCAAAACTCATTTGTGTGATATTTAACTGCTTCCCGGCTATTTCCCTAGTTATTTGCAATATACTAGGGTCCCATCCAGGTATCTTTACATCATTTCGTCCATAAAATCAACCCCACGATGACACTGGGTGGGCTCTCAACAAGCACGTACTGTTTATCACAGTGCATGCCACCCCTCTGACTGAACACGCCCAGGTTAACTGGAGCAGGGACAACAGCAAACTGGCCAGACAGCTGGTCGCCATCACCATCTCTTCCTGCTTTCAGCACACACGACCCTGGACTACTCTGCAGAGTGGTGAACAGCCAGGCAGTACACACTGCATCTGAGACACTCAGCAAACTGTCCCTCTGGAGCCAGATGGCCAGTAAACCACGGCCTCCCTCCAGGGCCCTGTGAGCTGTGCTGCCCCCGAAGATGTGATGTCTCTTCCTGCTAAGGGTTACTCATGCAAAGAGAGTTAAACGAGACTGAAAAGATTCATAGTCTTTTAAAAATAAACCTTAACTAGGTTTACTTAAAACCTATTTAAAACATAAGATATTATAGAAACAAAGGTTTAATTCTCGGTTTTAAAATGTAATTCACTGTCTGGCAAAAGGTTAATGTAAAACCATTTTCACAGAAGTCACAGAGAAACAGTGTCCTTTACTACAACTGTGCAAAACACTCATCTGAAACAGTACTCACAGAATTCAGTTTCGTCAGTGATGACAATGGAGCCAGGAAAGACCAAACATTACCCCTAGATGTAGGGATATCGGTGATAACAAACACAACTGCACTCGCTGTTTGGAGAGAGGTTTTTAAATAAACTCACTCCCTAGATTCATTCCAGGAAAACCCAGAAGCAACACCGTCAACCAAGTGTTGAAACAATACATGGTAGTGAATGATGGGAGGCTTTATCTGTCCCTGAAGCCAAAGGATTTCCTGTTCCAAGTGTCTGAGATACATATCACTGTGTACTCTGGGTGAATGAAAATGACGTCAAAGTACCAACAACAGAAAACACGCAACTTTTTCTTCTCCTTGATTCACTGCAAAAGGATACGTGCAAAAGGAGGTTAAGATGTTTGCTCACTTCCTTCGCTATAGAGTTTCTCAGTTACTCCTTCCGGGACTACTCTTTGCAACTGGTCCTGGAATAATCACACTAAACAGACTCTGTGAATATCAATGCAGTTAATCAGCCTCAATAACTAAACACAGGCCGAAGGTCTGGATGACCATCACGCTGTGGTACAAATACAGCGCTCACCCTCACAGCAACGTGTCCCTGTGGCACAGCTTCTCAATATTGGGTGCAGACCCAACCATCTCAAGCTTGGTCGGAAATCTATGGACTACCACAGTCCCTGTTTGAACTACACAGTATTCTCTGACCATGAGTGCTGTATCAGTGAGGATTGAAGGTGCTCTAAAACCTGTTGGAAGCAAATTAATTATCTCCAAACTATCCGCAGGATTTGAAAGAATAATCTCAACATAAAAATCATTTGAATGAGATCAGTGTTCACCAGGCTGTAAACTCCCGCTGCCTTCAATGGTATTTGATCATTGAATTTGCTCAAGTCTAAAAAAAATCAGAATTCAGAAAATCATGTTTGGAAGCTATTGTCTAATTTCACACATCGTTAATTTTTCAAAGGGTTTTTATTACAAACAGCTCCACACTTCTAGTTTTGTAATTTTTTCTTTTTAAAATATTAATTAAAGCATGTTCCAGTGCTTATTATGTGACATGGAAGATTTTGTAGTTGGCCATTGTTTTTCTCCTTGTGAACTTCCAAGTCTTATATATTATATAGTAAATGTGGGTTCTTTTTAAATATTCTACACTATGTTCACTACAGTGAGAACTCAAATATAACTCAAATGTAAGCAGAGTACTTAGATTTTTCACATACTGTTCCCTCTACCTAAAATGCTCTTCCTTGCCTCTCTTCACCCAAGCAGGTCCTTCATCCTCCAGATTGCCCTGCAATTATGCCTTCTTCAAGAAAGCCTTCCAATGCCCTTCTGATCAGGATAAATCCTACTCGTATGTGCTTTCATAGCCCCATTTTACACCCCCTCATAGTACGTATGACTCAAATAAATATAATTTAATTCACATCTTTCCTTCCCCAGAAGACCAGTGAGAACAAAGACTATGTTTTGCTTATCATTTCATCCCTAATGGTGAGCACAATGCCTGACACTTAGCTGGCACCCAGTGAATGTGTGTGTGAATGAATGGATAAAGGGAAAAACTGGTTGATACAGGATTGGTGGGCCTGAACAATTGCAAAATGCCATCTGCTAGATTACTTTCTGAACTTCAGGGAGTCAACCTGGTCCCTTACCTATATCCAAAAGTGCATGCATCTATATACATCTACACACACATATAATCTTATCGAGATTCTATATTATGGGAGTCAATATTTTCCTTCTATGCTTTTATGACCAGATTTTTACTAATAATTTATAAAAACTAAAAAATTACATGTCTTACATTCTCAGAATTTCCCCAAACTGTCTAGAGTCCCATTATCTGTGTACAATGGATGGCGTCTTATAAAGCTGTTAGAGTCTAAAGTTAGTTGATGGAGTGAAAAAAATTTAAGTTGTGAAAAGTAATCTTTTGCAAAGTACTATGTTGGAAGCAGCCATACTTTCCTTTAAAAGTCCCACAAAGCCAATGTCCTCAAAAATTAAATGAAACAACTCCTCCTTCAGTGCAGGGCCTGGTGAAGAGTTTGGCCTCCGCTGAATGGCCAATGCTTTAGACAAAATCTGTCTGGCATCTTTAGGCACTAGACCCCAACTCAGCACGCAGAGGGGTCGTGCAGAGGAAGTCTCAGCACTGACACCTCCTGAGGGAGAAGCGGCCGTGGTCCCCAGCTCCCACTCTCTTTGGGATGAAAGTTTGCTGACTGACAGGTAGAGTCACACACTATTTAAATCGTTATTGTTCTCCCTTTTACTCACTGAGCTCCTGTAAATTAAGTTCACACAAGGTGCAAGCCATCATTTACTACCACCCTGTCACCCAAATTAAGTTGGAAAATGCTTCCATAGTGGGGAACTCACTAATTTGCTTCATGAAGAGCTGGCTATACAGAACTGTTGTAAATCAAATCATATTTTTCCACGGATTAGTATTGTGGATGCAGGTAAACCAGCCTGCAAGTAACTTCCTTTACTAAAACGGAGCCCACGCTGTCCTGTGTTTCCTTTTCCATTGTTCCCCATAACCCTGCCAGGGCCAGGCGTGCAAAAATAGAAGCAAGGCCCCTGGGGCCGCGGGAGGAAGCTGGCGATGCATGAGGGGCACTCACCATCACAGCGGGGTTCTTCACGGTGATGCAGGGGGTGGTGGCTCGGAGGGCTCCACTGATGCCGTGGTAGTATTTAAAACAGATTTTTATCTCTGCTGCAAAGTGATTGGAGAAAAACAGTAATTCAAACACTGAAACAAGTTATCGAGGAATCAGCTGAAGGAACTCGCCACGCCACTTCTCAGAAAATCCTACTCACGACCGTCTGAACGGTCCCTTCTTTTCCAATTAGAGGCAACAGATTGATCATACCATTTCATATACATCTATGGACTGCATAACAACAGTGTCAAATGTATAAAAAAATAATGCACAAACAAGCCGAAATATAAGTAGTGTAGACATAAGAATAACACCAGCTGCCATTCATTGACATGCTCCACAATATACCAGACACAGTGCTGTGTCTCTGGTCATGTCATTTAGCCCTGGAATAAACTTTGGAAGGCAGACATTGGTGTCCCCATGTTGCAGGAGAAGCGCTGAGGTGCGCCAAAGGTCAAACAAACAGGAAAGGACAGAGCCAGGACTCAAACCAATCTGTCTGATAGCAAAGCCTTCACTCCTAACCTCAGCAATATAGACTGACTGCAGCTGTCCAGGGAAATAGAGTTTAACAAGTGTGAAAAAATTCGAGGGTAGACTACGCAGTGCTAGGGCCTGGGAATCTTCACACAGCCGCTTCACCGGGATCAAATTGAGTAACCACTGATATATACAGGTCTGTCCAGAAAGTATCCGGCCATGTATACTGTGAAAAATGGAGACCTTTGTTGAAGAAGGTACAAGAAACATTGTACCGAGGACAATGACACCTCAGTCCCCTTCAAAGTTCTAGCTTTCCTGAGGAAATCTAGTTCCTGGTAGTGGTTTGAATCAACTCATTAGCAACTGTATTATGATGTTCCTTCTGCTCTGGCAGCGGAAGGAATTTTGCCATGACATATTTCATGCCAAGAGCCTGTGTCGAAATCTCGGGCACAGTATTTTTGGAACTCCCAGATCAGCTTCTGGTTCTCACACTGTCAGTTGCTGATCTTTGTTGACTGCAGCCTGTACAAGTTCAACATTCTCAGGTGTTCTGCTTGTTGCGGACCTTCCAGAATGTGGATCACTTTCAATAGATTCTCAACCATCTTTGAAGCACTTGTGCCACACTTTTATTTGTGCTGCACTTATTGTGTCATTCCTGAAAGCCTCCTGAATCATATGAATAGTTTCCATGGAGGAATGTTTAAGCTTAACACAAAATTTGATGCAATTCATTGCTCTACTCACTCAGTCATTTTGGATGCAACAACCACACAGTAGGCCTGCTAACTCAATGGTGTCTACAGCCCCCACTGACTAGTACAGTGAAGTCATCATTGTTCACACATGCGCACTCCAATCTACTCTCCTTGGCTGCCAGGTTACCTTGATGTCATGCAAACTGGCCTCACTGCAGTAATAATGGCTGGACCTTTTCCCGACAGACCTCTTATACATACAATATGTAAACAGACAGACACAGGTACAGACACAGAAACAAATACAGATACAGATGTAGCTATATATTCACAAGTATGTTATATATATATACATATATATATATATATCAAGTTCAAAGTATATATAATATATATACTTTACTTTAGTATATATAATATACTATATATTATATATATAAATATAATTTGAACTTGACAAAGAGTAATACAAATGCCATTTATTGATTTTGGAAAGTAACTACAATTTTAAAGACCAGAAAGTCAGAAAGTGCCAAAGATAAGTCACACAGACACTGGAATTTCTCTGTATACAGGGCACCTGAATCACTGAAGTGTCATGCAAGTGCCTTTTCCCCAAGGTGTCACTCAGTATAAGCAATGATACTGATAGGCAGGCCCCAGGAACCGTGGCAGCCTACAGGAGCAGGCCTCCCCGGCTAAATCACCGGGATTACCCAAATGGGGCTAACGAGATGTGTTTTCCCACGGAAGCTCACCTTCCATGGACTGTCCTGACTGCCAAATCACCTCCTACAAAGTACTCAGTTCACTTGTTTTAAGAGAAAAAATATAATGATTAAAGAAAAATCCTCCTTTAGGGATGTATACTATTGCATATTTCCTATCCATGGTGAAATACTAGAAACGAAGTCTGTCATGAGGTAAAATACCGAGTCTTTCTATTATGAACATTGATCACTAAGCGGTGATTCAAAATGTAGTCGGCACTGCCAAGCAAAAGATTTTTTACCATGTGCCCATCACAACACAGGCCCAGCTCTACACCAGAGAGTCAAGAGAGTCAGAGAAAGGTTTCTGGTTTAGCAGGTGACTTGTGGAGTGGCTGTGGGGATGACAAGCACGGGCCTGGCAAAAGACAGAAGACAAGCAGTGAAAAGGAAAGTTGCCAGGTAGAAGACTGAGGAGGCCACAGAGAAGAGGAGTGAGGGCACAGCGGAGCCAGAAAGGCTCCCAGAACAAACAACTTGGGACTCCAACCTACAAATGAGAAAAGTGGGGGCAGAGAAGGCAAGGAGAGAGGAGCAGCCAAAGTATGGAAGCAGAAGAGCAGGCTGGCTTTGAGGAACAGCAAGATGACCCTCGCAGGAATTCTAGCTGTATTGTTACTTCACTTCCCTGGGAACAGCCATAAATGACTGATCTTCCTGAACACCAGCACAGATTTGTGATTATTACTGAAATAGTAGTAGCTATACAGATCTGGGCAAACCTTGCTCTCTCCCTTGCTTTCTTCCAAGACCAATAGCATGTATTCTGCAAGAACAAAACTAAGCAAAGTGCACAAGGACTGCCAGAGAACAAGCTCGGTGACATATTGAATTCTGCAGGCATGAGCTCATTAGTGTCACCCTCTAAATGCCAGCGACCAGCAGTCTGACTCTCCCTGCAGCAGTACCTCAAAGATCGAATAAATGGTTAGCAAGTGAGCAGCTCATTTCTCAATAAGGACAAGTGCATTTTCATAAGACATCTTCCCCAAACTCAAGGTAGGATGCCATCTCCTCTAAATAGTCAGCAAGGCTATAAGAGGAAAAAAAGTGACTGCTTATTTTTATTTGTAGGATATTGATAGCCAGGCCAACTTTGCTAGCTGACCCATTGGGGTGTTACTTTATTCCTTGTTATAACAAAAATCTCTAACTCTGGTGATATGTTAGAATCTCGAAAATTGTAAGATAAATTTACTCTGAATTGCACAAAGCAGATTTTGTGGGCGGACCTATCACCCAGAACACTACAGGGCTCACAGCACCATCAGTCTTATGGCTAGGTGCAAAGCAGAGGGCTTTACGCAGATCACCCGCTGCCAAAACAAACACACAGGCTGGTTACCGGAGACAGAAAGACAGACAGCTGTCTGCACCTGGACTGAAACCGACTACTCCTTCAGCAGGACACCAGCAAAGTTCCCTGCCCCTAAAATACAGGACTGTTCCATGCTGAGTGGCAGCTTTCATTTCAAATATTATTTAGTGTTTTAGGATATAAGTCAAGATTTAAATAAGTGTAATTAAACAACATCCCCTCCAAGTAAAAGAGGAGTAGCATTTTGATTGATGTTCTTTAACATTTTAGCTTAGAGAAGAGGTTACTGGAAAGAATACTCAAAAGGGTGGAAAGGGGAACATGAGGCCGTGCCTCTATTTTAGCTACAATTTTAACTGCTAACTGCAAGAGGAACAGATACAAGGACGAGTAAAAGCAGATACAGGCCTGGTGACTGAGTGTCAGATAAGGGAGAAGCTCACTGCCCACGGGGCCAGCTGTGTTCACGGGCAGGGGAGATGGAGGATATGGACTAAGAACAATAGTGATCCCATCAACCCAAGAATGAATTCTCCACACAGATGGACAGAACCAACAGAAAGAATGAAGGAAAGAGAGAAAGCAGGTCTGAATGAATGAATGAATGAATGAATGAATGAATGAATGAATGAGTGAATGAGTGAATGAGTGAATGAATGAACTATAGTCTACAGAAGACTACAGAAATAGACATCCTGGCATGCCAAGACAACTTTTGAAACTTCTTACATTTCAAAACTCAAGAACGCACAAATGACCAATTCAGTTTCTGCAAGGATCAGTCCATCTGAGGACTATCTGACAGCCTTATGACAAGTGCAGATGAAAGTGGTCCTCCTTTCCAAGGTCTAGGAAGGTCATCTACTCCAAATTAAACCAATCTTTGTCCTTCAAATTTATTCAGGCAGGCCCTGTAATAACATAAGTCTGGGCTGCCTGCCTCCTTTAGGGGTTTATCCAGACAAACTGAAGCCATCTATACATTCAGAAATAGCTTAGCACTCAGATCTAGGTTTACCCATGAATTTAGGTCAATTTTCAGAGAATTTTACTTCACCTGGACTTCTGATGAGCTAAAGATAAATTTTCTGTCTGAAGATGAAAGCAAATGTTTTTAAATGTCATATGTTTTTGAGATCAGAGGTGGAAAATACAGAAGCTGTCTAACATACCCAGCAACTCCCACCCCCTGATTTTTTAAGTTACACACCATGAGCTCAGAAATTCAAGCAAAACTTCATTATGCTGTGAAGTCCCCTTAGGTCTGCTCTCCTCAGACATGGGGTTAAAAATGTCTGAAAGAGACGAACTACACTTCTAAGCAGTGACGTCAACACCAGCTGAAGTTTTCACAGTGAATGGACATTGAAAGGATAGAGATATGTGTTGAGGTAGGTCTCATCTGATTAACGAAGATGAGCTTGTGAAGCCAAACCAGTCTGTAATTCCTGTACACTGTCCAGGACATTAACTCATATAACTCTTCTCAGTCCTTAAAAAATACATTACTGAATATCTCCAGTTTGACACTTATATAGCACAATACCCTCAACTTTGTGTAGGAAGAACTGAGGTGGAAATGCTAAATTAGAGGAGAAAAAGGAAAAGACACCCTACTCTTCTCTTCATTTCCAATTTCTACCTTCAATGTCAAGCCCGTTCTATTAATACTAAACTGACAGGTAAAGAAAAGCCTCTGTTGAGACAGAAATATTTACTATACCCTACACAGCCAGGGCATCATGAACCTACATCGAAGACTTCTGAAGGGAGAAGGGAGAGAGGAAATGGATCACACAAAGTGAGGTACTCTGTAAATGGGTTCCCCACCCCGACACAGTGTTCCAAATTAGCGGAGCACATGATACAGACTTCTTCCCAGGCGTTCACATGAGCCCATAATGTGAACCTGCACACTGCCTCAAGGGGCAATCATTCCTAGCAGTCTGCAGCATTTCGGAGCAAATAAGAAAGCTGTTTTACTCTTTCCCTGAAGTTCAGTTGGCAGTATTTCTCAGCTAAACCCTGGGGCCCTTTCAAAGGAGGAATCACAGTGAGAGTGCACTCGGTGTTTCCCATTCCACTTCCCCGTGTCCTTTCATCACTTACGTTTCTGATTACTTACACGGTAATGCCAGCTGGGCCAATGCTGTAAAGTAAGGTAGGAATAGGCAAGAAAAGCAAATCACCCAGAATCTCACCTCGCGGAAACAACCCCACTTCCATTTTAGCAAATATTCTTCCAGACATTTTTCCTACATGCTACACTATGAGTAGGAATTGTGCTGCCCCTGATATCACGAGCATTTTCCCTTAAAAACTGCATTCCATTGTCTCCTGCAAAGAGACAAGCTGGCCAGAAACTGAACTGAAGAGAAGACATTCCTTAGGGGGCAGAAACAGGATTAGAGAAAGCTCCAGAATGCTGACCTACCAGTAAAAATGTGGAAGAAACAGTCTGATGCCTTTACTGGCAATTCAAAGTAATACATGTTAATCTTTCGAATAACTTTTTATATTACAGATGTTTTATATGCTTTAATATTAATATGGTTACATCAGGTTGCTATTTAATCAAACCTTATTTTATATTTTAAGCTGTAATAAGTATGATCCTTGTAACTAGCATCTACACACTCTCTTACATGAAATCCCTTGCATATAGAAGACTTAATTCTTATACAGAGATAAATATCTCAGAAAATTTCTACATGAAAGAAATATTCTGTAAATGTGGAAGTTAACCTGGACCAACCAGTAAATCACTTATTTATTCATGCTTCTATCTACCTGACAAAAATATACAGTATTTTTTGGACCACAAGACACACCCAGGTTTTAGAGGAGGAAAACAGCAAAAATATTTTTGAAGCAAAACATGTGGTGAAATATTTAATAACATAAATAACATTTCACCAATGTAAATGTAAAGAGAACTCAACAGCATTATGAACAACTGTTATTCCTCCCAAACTGGGAGGCAGGGTAAGTCTTATAGTCCAAAAAAATACGTTATTGACTATATTCTGAATAATATTGGTGTCGAATATAAATCCTCCCCTTCATCCAAAATAAAAAGAGATGAGATACTTCTGTGAACCCTGTACTGTATAAAAGAATTTGTAACATCAGCTAACTGGGTGATGTCTGCATCTTCTGCAGCCACTTTCTGGTTTCTCGTAAACTGGCTTCTACAGCAGTCCCTGACTGTCTTACCTACACTTGTAAAAACCAGGACCCAAAGGCAAAAGTTATTCTGCTAGTGGGAAAAATAATAGTGAGGTTAGCAAATGAAATTTTTCAGTTAAATTCTTAAATTTAACTTAAGTCTTGAACTATTCTCTCTGCTCCCTAAAATAAATATTAGTAATTAAATATTAATGACACATATAGATACAAGGGCACATAAAATGTGTGAAGCATCAAAGTAGCCACACACAGTTTATGTATCATACATTTACACGATACACATACACACACGCACACTTTTTTCAAAATACGTGAACATTCTCTAATGAGCACTGTCTAAAACAATGTATTTTCCAGTTTAGGGTTAAATGGCATAAATCAATCAGAGCTGAAAAAATTTTAAATAAGACTCAGAAGAGGCCCCACGGATCTCTACCTATTTATACAACGTGAGTAACAAACTTGCACTTCACACTCCATTACTTACGTTCCATGAAATAGGGCCCAGGCTCAATTCTCCACACAATCTGCCCTTTCTGTGTGCCAGTCACACCCCTGTTTTTAGAATCCCAGAAGTTGGCCGGAGAATTCTCATCTGAAAAAAACAAAGAAATACTTTTCAGCTTAATTACAACCTCTTTGTTGTTTCTTAGCCCAAAGACTAATAGAAATTCTAAGATGAATAGAAAAAAGGATAAAGGGGAAACATTAATGAACACTAGTAGTAATACTGCCCCCCACAAATTATTCCCCTGGACTCCTACACCTGATTTGTAAGGCAGGACTGGGGAGGAGTGAGGGGGCAGGACTGGGGAGGAGTGCGGGGGGCAGGGCAGGGAAGGTGACAGCATCTTTGGGCCAGGCCAGGTTGCTCACTGTTGCCAAAGCACAAAAAACTAAAAGGAACCAAGGGTGTGGCTGCTGCAGCCTCAGTGACGGGCTGACATGGAAAAGAGGTGTTGAGCTCCCATCTGTAAGACCCTTTGTGAAAAGGACAGGAACAGCAGAGCTGGGAGAACATAACAAAACTGAAGATCAGGTACTAAAAGGGATGCTAAGCTATAACACTAAGTCAAGACATGGTCTTGAACCTAACTACACGGGTTCGCCATGAGCAGAGCCCCGATCATCAGGTCCCCCAGGAAAATTGCCAAATGCCAAAGGCAGTAGGCCTTGAGCCCATTTAAGAAAAGGAAAGAGACAGCATTTACACTACTGCAGGGAAGAAGGATGGAAAGGACGGATCCAAAGAATAGGCCTGAACGTAGTATTTTCCAAGCTGTTTGACCTGATGACACACAGAAAGTGGTGATACCTGTGGGCACACTGGGGTGAATGACAGACGTAACTTCAGATGACAGGCAGGGACGCTCTGGTTGCCCAGGCTCCGCCCCCCACCCTGAAGGCTCAGGGGATCCATATTCTGCATATCTTGCTCACATCCCACTAGTCGGAACCTCTGTCCCTAGAGCCCTAGAACAGGAAGTAAACCTGAAAACAAGAAAAGGAGACCATTCAGAGTTTCACAGGTTTACAAAAATGTTAAGTTCTCACTTTAACTGAGAGCAGAAATCAACCAGACAGGGCAAAGAGCTATGCTAAAAAGGGAAGATAGAGAAAAGGTCCCAAGCCCAAGAGAATAGGTCTGAGAGGAAAAACCTCTCCTCTTTTGAGAGTTAAAAGAAAAGACACCTCGGAGGTCAGGTAACCCAGCTCTGAGCGACTTCGGTCTGCCGTTGCCCTGTGGCCCGCTGGCTTCCTCACATTGATGAGCCACAGAACTTAGGGAAGAACGGTCCTGTCATGCGATTTGCATTCAGCACAAGTCAAAGATTCCTTTTGTGCAAGTCCAAGCAGCAGCCTCTGTTCATCACAGAAGGAAAGGCTAAGCCATTTGTGGCATCACGTCTACACCTGAACAAACAGCACAAGGGCACAACTCCACCAACACCAAACATGGACACAACACTGACATGTAGACGGCACTCAGGCAACTGCCGAAAACCACCCCTGAAAGGTGTCCTGTGGCTGTTGGTCTTGAGGCTCGTTGGAGCAGATCCTTCTCACTTATGTGGGGAGAGGGACTCTCAAGTTTTCACAAATACACGTGCTTTATTAGTTGCTGGTCACTTGGAAGACACTGAAAGCTGGACCTCCTGGGCATGAGTGGGTGGTACCCTGCTCCAAGCAAGAGGGGAAAATTAGGGGAGGCGAGGACAGTGCAACAGAATATAAGTACATGAGTAGCAGGTGTCCAGCTATCCAAAATGCTTTTTTAAAAAAAGAATGCACATGGGAAATTTTCTTCTTGAGGCCTCAGGAAAGAAGGGGCAGCAAATCTTGTTTTAAGGAGCAAGCACTAAGATCATGATGAAAAAGATGAACAGTGACAACACTGTACTTGTTAATGGTGACCTCACTGTAAAACGGTTTGCATTTCCGGTATTACTGAACTCTTCTCCACCCTCCAACTCCCTCCCGACCCCAACACTCAGTGAAGCAAAACTAAGTACACACTTCTGACATAACCGCCTTGGGAAGATGGGCCACAGAGGAGCAGAACCAGAATGAGGGGGTAGTGATGGGAGGAGGAGACTGAGCTCCAGACGGAAGTGATGCCTGAGACCCAACTCAACCTTTACATGTTCTCCAGAGATTTCTGACAGAGAAGAACACTAATTGGAATTGGTCCTTCAGGTGAAAACTTTTTCTTTAAGTAGGTTAACACCTTCATTTAGGTTGCAGTCAGTTCTAGGCTGGCCCAGGAACTCACTTCCGGTGACAGTATTTCTCTGCTCAGATCGCTTTTCCACAGATATTCAAGCACAGAATATTTTTTCCCAGATTGTAGGAGTTGTTTTTCTTCTACCCCCAGTGAACACCTACATTAGATAAGTCAGTCTTTCAAAAATGTCCCTACTCCAAACAAGAAAAGAATAACTGAGTATAAAATGTACACCAAAGAAAGGTTTTTCAGGAACACGTATAAAGGACACACGCAACCAAACCAGAGGCAGGTAGGATCAAGGGTGGGAGGTGGGGATGCCTGGGGTTGGGGGGAGAGTGGTGGGTAAATGGAGACAACTGGACTTGAACAACAATAAAAAAAAGTTAAAAAAATAAATCCCCTATAAGGATAATATAAATGTAATTATAAATCTATTTCTTCCTTTAACTGAATAAAGTTTCTGATAAATCAAAGAAATATCATTAGTCTTTAAAACCAATTACCAATTGTTCCACTTACAGTTGGTCTTTTCTTTTCCCCATTTCTCTTAACTATGTCAGTCTGTTGCGCGGTCCTCACATCCCTACCTCATTTCCACCCTCTCACGTGGAGCAGGGTACCACCCAAACCTGGAAAGCATGAGGCCTCATCTCCTAGGTTTCTCCATCGCCCAACCATCTACCATCTTTTCCGTACCCATGCTGAGGTCTTGCCCTTTTGCCCAGGTCCCATTACAATGATGGTGCCCTTGACCCCATCCCCTCCATCAGTCACCTTCTCTTGCTTTGACCTTTAGCTTCTTCCTCTCAACCTAGAAACAGGTCAGCTACCATGAGGCATATTTTCCTGGTTTTACCTTTGCTTTGGCTCTTTGACTATTACCTTCCTTTATGTCCCTTCCTACTGGGATTAAAGTGTCTGTTTTACAGTTATAATCGAGTCAATATTATAGGCGTGTATATTCTAGATACTTAGGTTACTTTCTAGCTGAAATGTAATCACAAAAAGAAACACTGGAGATGTTTATTTCATGTTCCCAAAAACCTTCTCCAAATCTAATTTTGTTTGGTAGGGTTTATATAAAGCTTGTCCACTGATGTCTCATATATGCTCTTTGTTGTTTTACAAGTCTAGTTGGCAGCACATTTTCTCTAAAATAGAAAAACAAAGCACACACCAAAAAAGCTCTAAAATCCTTCTAAGGCAATTTTCATATCTATTTTTTTATTAGTGAGAGAAAATGATCAAGAAAACTTTTGAAAATCTCTACTCTTGCCTTATTTTAGCAATCCATGATATTTTCCAAAATGATTTCATTTGCTATGCTTAAAAAATTACTCTTTAGGGTTATTCTAATTAATTCTGTTATTAACATTGGAATGACTTGTGTTAAGTCTGCTTCTCCAAGGGACAAATTAATAGTGTTTAGAGCCAGGAAATAAAGAAGAAGAGATAGGAGATTACAGTACACACAGTAACTCTCCTCTATTAACTGTAGAGTGGCTCAGAGAATTTTCTCAGATCTAGTTAATTACCTGAGGAACACACCCCCTTTTCTTAATGGAAACCACACGATTTTTAGGAAGAACACCTTGGAGTCTCAGACAGACTTTTATGTAAGCAGATTTAACAACACCTCCTGCGCATTCAGGAGGTCACACAGCCCCACTGGCTGCCTTCCCCTTTGGTTAACTCAGCCTCCGGGACAATGACGGCCCAACTCCATTGCTCCCAGTGAATGTCCCGGGGCCTTCTTCCAAATGCTGAGTCCTGTTCTACTCTTCCAGAGACTCTGATTCAGTAAGTTTGAGTGAGCATGCGGGAATCTGAGTTTTGGCACCCCAACCAGGTGACTGTGACACAGGTACTACAAACACCACCCATGGAAAAATTCTGTTCATGGTTATTTCCAGGGAAATTGAGCAATTAAGAAATGTTCTGGACCATGTATGTCTCTTTGACTACTGTCTGTTTCATTTGTTGGCTTGTTCCTTTGTTCCTCCCTCCCTCCCTTCAGTTGAAAGGCAGTTACTGACTGCCTACTATGAAGAGCAAGAGCACCCATTTCCTGCCCTATGAAGTTGACAGTGCAGGGGAAGACCAGCACACAAAGTACAGTCCAATGTAAAGAGTGCTATGATAGAGGTGTGCATACCTTGCAAAGTGTTGAAGGGGAACAGAAGAAGAATGGTCTGTGCTCCCTATGATCGTGTATAATTAAACTATCTATCAATCAAGTTTGAAGTGTCTCTGGGAGATGCATAAGGAGATACCCTTTGGGAAATCAATACATGCCAGCCAGTCGGTAAGAGGTCCCATCCATGGGACCTCTTCTCTTCTTCACTTCTCTTCCCAAAGACATACAGTGTTACCTCCCAGTGTTCATTTTTGGGGGGCAGGGGGTCCATGAATGGTCATCCGCTCATCAGAAACAGCAAGTAAGTGGTCATATTTAGAGCTGAATTCAGTAGTAAAAGTTTCTATCGTTGCCTGGGCCCCAGGATATAACTCTTTTCTTCCTCAGAGAAGTAGGATTAATTATATTAATCAATAATGTGATTATAAACCATTAAAAAAAACCTAAATGAATTCTTTTTATTAAGTGTCACAAAAAATAATATAAAGATAGTCTTTTAATTTTTTCAAAGTATTCCTTTCCCATAATATTTCATACACAAAAATCAGCATGAAAAGTACCTTTAAGAGAGTAATTTTCTCTTCTATATGCTTTTTAGACTCAAGAAAATGTTCTTAAATTAGCTTTTAAGGTAAAAGAATATACAGGGGACATGCCTAGACATAACAAACACATCCAAAAAAATTTGGATTTGGAGATGTTTCAAAGTCTGTATTACCGTTTCCAAAGA